TCCATCAGCAGACTTGAAGATGAATGAAATAAAAAACAATCTCATGGTCAACAAAAATATCTTTAGTGTGAATAAATAAGTAAACGGTGATTGGTTTATAAGAATATACGTGTTAAAGTTTAGGAAACCGGTTCTAGATTTAATTTCAATTTCAACTTTTAGAAATTCTGCTAGGAAAATTTGGTATTTAGAAACCCAAATGTTATTTCACTACATGCTACGCATATGACTTTTCATGTCCGGAAGAAATTGAAAATATTGATATTAAACATGTTATACGAGTTTAAATACAGCTTTTTCTCGTCACAGAACCGTTTGTTCCTTTCTTCTTTATATGGAAAATGTGGGAGGAAGAGAGAGGACTCCAGATGTATGATACTATCTGATAGCACATCAAGTGCGAAATACCATGATAAGGAAATTTCAAGGAAAATAAATATCTGCTGGAATTATTATTCGAAGATAAAATGAAAAATACGTAATTTAGTTAAAGTTGAAGTTGTTGAAAATTGGAGTGAAATGAGGGTTTCTAAAAATTAGAAAACTTATTCTTTTGCATCATGCGACAGTAAAACATCTGATTTTATTTGCAATTATTATGAAGTGATTTGAACAAGAAATGTACGTGCCAAGTTTATACTTCGTTTAAATTAATAGTCCAATCACTTGGTATCTGACTCAAAAAATTCTTAACCTATTTGCTCAACTGTTCTGTATGTTTTTTGCGTTGCTGAACTCGAATTCAATGTTTGCACATCAAAAAGGGCGTGCTTAACGGAAAAAATGGAAAAACAAAAAGTCGAGATTGGATTTCTGTAGATATTCTTAATATAGTAAGCTGTTGCTATATCCGAAATCGCCTTATTCTACTTTTCAGGGCTGTCACTCGTTTATCTCACTCGTTGGCAGGAAACACCTGATAAGGCGAATGTTATCTATAAGACTCCTGTCAAGCACTTCAGTCAAACAGCTGCAGTCGTTATGCGATCGAGGAAGGAAAATAATGTTTTCTTTGTGCGTGCATTATTGTGGTTCCATAATCAGCAAAGCAAGTAAGAATTGTTTTTAGTTCTTTTGAAAACTTTCAATGTACGAGTGGAATTTAGTATAACTATTCCACAAATGACATTTTCTCTAAGTGAGTTTCAAAAGGTTATAAATAAAAATTATATTAATGAACATCGTACTTCCTCCCGCAGAACCTACGCCACACACAGCTTTTCACTGTTTTTGACGATAAAGAACAAATAAATATTTTGCTTTCAGAGCGCTGCTTCTATGATTGATATATCGTAGCTGATCACAGACAAGTACTGAGGAAGTAACACACAAAAAATCGGTAAGAACATACGGTAATTTATTAGAGATACACGTCTTGATTGGAGCATATCAGTTACTACCTTAGCTTTACGCCAATATATTCATGTTATACAGTTTAATTGTAAATTTTTGTAAATTCACAATAAAAATAAAACTTTACATACATTAAAGTTGACTAGCTATACGACAAATGTTTTGATTAGAATATTTGTTTAGTTTGTCGTTTCGTCCTAAACTTATGTTTAATTATTCTCAATTGAATGAATTAAGAGGAAGTACAAAACTTTTTCATGTTAATTTGGCTGTAGATTTGATACAATGTCTCAGAAACAATACAATCTTGTGTAAACTTTCAGGAGCAGACAGGAGGAAATGTTTTAAGTAAATACAATAGAACTCTTGAATAGAGCGATATTAAACATTATAGATTTGTATTTTATATTTTTCGATTTTTTCTTGCGCATTTTTGAGAAAATAAAAACGTTCACAGGTTTTGCTATTTTATTTTCAATAAACTCCGTTTTCTAGCTGTATATCATATTTCTGTGCACATCGTACCACTTTTCTTTATGATGTGCAAATTATGTTGGTATATACTTATTTTATAGCACTTAAAAATGCTTCAATAATTTTGCAGATCGTAATGGCGAGTACAACATCTGGAGGGTAAGTGATGAATCTATGAATATTTATTCCTGATTTTTCAAGAAATGTAATAAAAATGTAGGATTTATGTACGAGATAATTTATTTCGTATTATCATTTTAACGATCAAACATCGAACATTCTGGAATCTTTTAATAAACATGTATTTTCTTCTGAAGAACATCAACATCTGATATTACAAATTAAGGATTGTATGAGATTATGTTTTAGATATTATTTACAATAGCTTTAATATATATTATGTAAATCTACCCACAAAAATATTAAACACAAACGTACACCTAAAACTTATTCATAATCATTTAATATTATTACCTTCTCATTCTTGATTTGAACTAATTTTCAAACTTGTGAGTAAAAGTATTTTTGTCTGCTTATCAAAAAATAAAAATAATTACGATTCAATGTAAAAAGTGAATATTTTGGATTAAATTAAAATAATGTGATATCAATAAACCTTTGAATATTAAAATCTTAAGTATTGTTTCTCCCCGAATATCGGTCATCAATAAAGAACTTCAGTAGTGCACTTACTAAAACAAAGATTTCACAAGCAAAAGCAACTTGGAAGAGATTATCTCCCATCGGCCGTAAGTTTGAAACATAAAATAATTTTTGGAATAGGAAAATCAATTATAGGAAAAGAAGGAACGTAATTGAAAAGGAAACAACACAAGGCGGTAGATGTGAAATGGCATTGTGAATTTAAAATAACATTAAAATTTGTCTAAAACATGAAACAATTTCTTGTAAACGTGAATTAAAAAAATATTGGCTACACGAAGATGTTGAAATCAAACATAATATGAGACAAATCTAGTGTCACAGAATGGCACAGATTTTCTCACACTAATTACTACCCGTATCTCTTTAGTCTGGGCTATTTATTTAGTTTTGCACCACCCTCTTCTTAGTTGCCATTTATTGGCGCCTAAAACTTTTTTGTCGTTTCTTCAAGTTTTCAGATACCTAATAGTATAATGAAATATAACTAACAATATTATAGAAGGGTAAAATCTGTTCATACAAACATGCTTTCATTGATAAATTCGGATCAGTTTAAAAAATATGGTTTAATTGTTTCTTATAATGCGGTTTTGAGAAACTCAGTTTTTGAAACTTGTCAAGAAACCTCGTCAAAAATATTTTCATGCAAAAATAACAAAACAACAATGTATAAGAAATGCCCATAATGTAAATATTAATTTTAGTATATAACAACGTGAGAAACTTAAAAAAAATACATTTGTGTAATTTTTAATTAAATATTGAGTCATTTTTACGTTACGGGAATTGCTGAAAACATGAAATAATCTAGTTTTGTTTCAGGGATCCGCTATTGGTCTTGGAGCGTCTAAAAGGCGCCGCCAAGACATTTGGTACGGAATTCGAATTCAAGTTGGCAGGCCTGCTAGCGCTGCGAGCGCGCGCACTGGGACTGGATTTTCGACTGTACACAAATGTGGCAGTTGCACGGCCCCTTGATGATATCGTACTGCGCGTGCTGAAGCCACAACCTTGTATAGTTTTCATCCAGCTCAAACATGCAGGCAAGGCTGGGAAAGCCACCTCAGTTACCACTCAGGTATGTAGCCCGCATCTATTCTCATCAAAAAGGACGGAGATAAGCTGGAATAGAATGATCGATTTACCTCTGTGGAATTACGGGCAAACACAATGTATTAACGTGAAAGAAAACAGTAGTAATTTAGCAGGTAACTCGTTCACACTCTGCAAACCATGCATACACAAGCTCAAGGAGCAAACAAGCCGCAACTTATCCCTTTGACCACATTGGCAAGTCGGGAATCGCAGCCTTTCTCAGTACTTACCCAGGTCAATGACTAAAGATTGGAAACTATACGCAAGATTGGAAGTAGACAACGTGTTAGAGTAATCAATAGCTTCATCAATAGAGTAGCAACAAGTTTTCTTTACTTTTTTGTTACCAAGGACCAACAATACGAGTTTTTCTGTCAAAAAAGATTACCGATTTTCACTGCAGTACTACAATATTTTTTTAAGTAAACGTAGTTAATCGACGAAGCGAAAAGTGACCCTTCTTACTAATTGTCAGTTTTAAATGGGTTAATCCCGCGATCAGCCGGGATTTCGGGTAAAACAAAATGGTATATTCTACATTTACGTGTGAACTGTCATTGTGTGAATGTACTCTGATCTTTTTTCTTTATTTAGCTGAATATTATTGATTTCCGACATTTACCCATTTGTTTCTGCACCGACGAAGTCATATTACAAATCAGTGAACTTCCCTAAAAGTAGATAATATTTATTGAAAAACTTGAGCAGATATGATAAGTATGTTACTACGCAGCACGGTAGGAAAATTTCCCGCAATGTAAAAATATGTGGTAATTAAAATAAATAATTTATCTAGGAACTATAGCAAATTTTTCTAATAGATATAGACCCAGGAATCTTCTACAGAACGTTGGCTCGAGCGAGTCATAAAGTAATTCGAACACCAGATAAAAGTAGTACTCCACAGCAAATAATGTCTGTAAAGAAAGTGTTTGTATTTAGCATGAAATTTCTGACATTCTTGTACTTATGAGATGTGAAGTCTATAGTTTTGAGTAATTCAAAAAGGAAGGGTTTTGGATTTTTGTGGCGTGCTCTCATATCTGCCGGTTAATGGGTACCGTTCTTTTTCATTTGTAAGCTCCGAAAAACGTTTTCACGTAAATGTTAGGTGAGATGCGTCTGTACAGCCTGAAATTGGCTGATTCTGTTTTATGACTTTAGAAGACATAATCTCATGAGTGAAATCTACAAAATGGAGTAAACTTACAAGTAACAATTTCCCTCACATGAAAATCATCATATCGAACATGCAAAGCAATAATAAAATTATTTCCAGGTTTCACGGATTTCAGTAGACATTTTTGTTAACTGTTCTTAATTGATACCCTAGATGTTTTTTATCATTTGTACGATACTTTAATAAACGTTCTTATTACTTCATTGAACGATAATTCAGCCTTCTTTTTATTACAGGCTTTCACATCTCCAAAGGGGGACTTCAGCCTACAAAAATATTTCGCGTTTTACGCGGACTTCGTAAGCAAATATTCCCCTCCGGGCGACCTCGTGACGAAGGACGACGCGCTGCTGCACGAGAGCGCGGTGGACGACGTGCGGGTGGTCGTCTACTCGAACCGACGGGTGGCGCGCCGCAAGGGGGCGCGCGACGCCGCGCACCTGCACTTCCCGCTCGAGGGCCTCCTCCGCACCGACGACGGCTCCCGCCCGGGCGCCGTCTTCTCCTTCGGGCGCGAGGACGACGAGGTGAGCACGCAGGGCGCGTGCATGCGGACCGCGCGGCTGTTTAGTTCGTCCCGCGAAAGGCCACTAGTGAAAAGTGAGAGTCGCTTTCCCGGAAGTCGTGGACACCAGTGGTCGGCCAAGGACCGTAGCAGGCTGTCGAGCCTTAGGACAGTCCCTTTCATCGATGTCGGACGAGAAAATTATGAGCCTAGTGTCCGGAATTATTACTACGGGAAAATTACAATTATTATTACGGGAAAAGTATGCACTATTCCGTAGTCAAAACCCTCTTTTATATAAAAATAGGTTAATGTTAGATCTAAGGACTTTTGCTAATAAATTAAGAAATTCAAAAGCATCCCAATGTATTCCACTGCGTCATGCATGGTATGGTCTGGTATCACGCAAGGTTCTACCCCATCCCTCAATTAATGAAAATGTGACCCGCGACCGTATGAAAGGTTTTGTGGCCTTTGAGACCTTTGAGATTTCCACCCTGAACTAACCACTATTATCTCAGGAGAGCAGCGAATAACGCTCATAAACCACACGATGCCTAAGTACACTGAGAGAGATCGAATCTTAAACGAAGTTACAAGGGGTAAACGATTAAAAGTTTACTTTAATTGTAACACTCAAAATTTATTGAGCTATAATTTAAAACTTTATTTGGAAAGGAGAAATTTAAATGAAATCAATGTAAAATTCAAGGAATTCAAGGGATACATTTTTAGATGTAGGTTATTCACTTCAAAGACAGAAAGACTTGCTTACGCGAGAAATAGCGGAGATATGCCTCGCATGTGATGGCCTTCGCGTCTGACGGAATGTGCCTCCGTCACAACATCTATGGATTAGGGGGACATTCTCACTACTTTCTCACCCTTTCTTACGAGCGTTGAAAATATCCGAATTTGCGAGGACAGCGAACATAATGAAAGTAAAGAAATTCACAACTAACCTCAATTACTTTTCCCTTAGCGGCTAGGCAACTACGGCAGCCAGTGCGAGTTCAATTGACGATGACAAAATCAGAAGGCTTCAAAAATAGTTCAGTCTTGGTCATCTCGATAGCTTGGCGGTCACAGCAACTAGGCAACTAGGAGATTCAGGATGGATTTCATGTCGGATTGACTAACGTTCTGAATAATTTGAATTGTCAATAGTGACGAAGCCTTCAGTAAACCCAACCAGTCTATTAGACGAACCAATTTTTACAAATTGTCTGAGCAAAAATTCATTCAAACCACAGAAAATCTTAAAGAAAAATGTTGGAAGACATAAAGCACTATAGGGGCTTGAGTTATTGAAGATTAATTTTTTATGATTTCGAATTTCAATAGTTCAACGTTGAAAATTTAAGTATTTCTTCTATTTAAGAAGTTATGCCGTAAACTAAATTCAAACACAGGGCCAATAAAAATATTAATATTTAGTATTCTTCCTTTCAGGTGTGGAAATTGTACGACAACGATCCCCTGAAAGACGTTTATCAGCATGAGTTCTTGCCCCGTCTACGCGTGTTCTCCGAACAAGCGCACGTCAACGACCTGGACAAGCTCATCCAGAAAGAACTGGACGCGCTGTTCGGAGCCCCGCTCCCACGAAGCGAGTACCTTCTCGTCAACTACATCACGACCGTCAAGGACTGGGCTCTGGACGACGCACGGGGCCATCCCCTCACAAACAGCTCCGGCGAGGTGGAACGCGTCTTAGTCGAGGAGCTAGTGCGACAGGGCAGGCAGGCGTCTGGCGACGGCGCTCTGCTCTTCACTAGAGAGCGCTGCGCAGCGTTGAGGGCGCTGCTGGAGCGGGGACGAGACTCCGTCAAAGTGCGGGTGTGCGGAGTGCGGGCGGGCCATCGCGCAGCCAAGGCCGTGCAGGTGCTGGACGAGGCGTTCGCTGGACGCTGGACCTACGTGGGCGATCGCCAGTTGCGCGACTTCCCGCGCGCCGCGCTGGAGGCTGCGTGCGGCGCCGGTCACGTGCAGTTCGTCGTGCTAGACGTGGAGGAGGTAAGGATGGCAAAAAACATCGATGTTTTAGAACAGACACCACTATTATAACGTCGATGTTTTCTTTAGATCGATATATTTTTTCAGAAACATTAATTATTTTAAAAAATGACCCACAGTTAGGAAATAAACCAAAATGTATATATGTTTCTATTCACAACCCTGAAAAACATGTTCAAGAGGAAGACAATAAATTAAAAACAAAATTGTCACGATATAACTAAAATTTCTAGTATCTAATTTTCTTGTAGAATGCTCGCAATGAAGAGCCATTCACAACTGTCATTTATGGATCCCAAAACTGTTCAAAACTGTTTGCAAATCGCAGCTTTTCTTCAGTGGTATTGCCTATTTTATTGTTTTTTACGGGGTAATATTATTAACCTGGATTTTGTACCTTGACTACATAGAAAATTTATTAGAAAATTAAGTTGACAGTCAAATTAAAGGTAGAATATACGTAAAACTAGTATTGACGTGTTATGTAGCACATTACAAGCAGGACATTTTTCTTCGATATTTTAAACGATTTTTTTCGATGTTGTTGTTGATGTTTTCATCGACATCAAAACTGTTTGTTGAGGTATCTAAGTACCGATGTATCGATGTTTCGCTCAAATTTGCCATCACCAGGAGGGGGAGTTGGAGGAAGCGCTGGCCCTCGTCGACGCCGTCGCACGCGACGTCAGGGTGGTCACCGTGTCCAGCGGGGAGGGCGAGAGCCTTCGACGGAGCCTCGGGAGGCAGTGGGTGGCGGTGGAAGACGACTGGAGGATGGGGCACTTGACGGCGGAGGCTCAGGAGGCGATGATGAAGGCCTCTCTCACCTTCCAGGTGAGCACTTCAATGCGATCTGGCATGAAACGAACGCAGAAACTTACAAGGTATATCTTCCGTGTCTTATCTGGTATTCTTTTCGTCGTATATTAAAGCGTTCAATATTTTAGTAAAAAAAAACAAACATTTTAGTAGCTTTCAATTTTAAACATTTCAATTATCATGAGTACACAATATATGGAACAGTTTGAGATACTGTATTTGATTAAAACAATCTTATACAGCCTGACAAACTTCTCTTTGTTGAATATATGTGTTTATGCAGAGACGAAGTTGCTGGACATTTCCGTTTTGCAATGGACTCACTTAATGTGTACTCGCACTTTACTAGAAGTACAACCCCTGTAGAAAATAACATTACAATCCAATAAGTACGATTACACATATAAAATTTATATTGCTCCATAAGGAACGTTAAATACATTCCTTATCTTATTATGAGAGAATCTGAATATAAACGAATTTGTGCACACGTTTAAAAGAATATACTTTCATTAAACACACTAGGGAGAAAAGGTTTCTTTTTCCTTTAGATAAGGAATTCACTTGTAATTTTCTTGGAGTGTTTGTAGTATGGTTATTTGTTACAGTGCACGCGTATACAGCAAGAGTCACATTAGCACCTCCAATCACTTTAGCACCTCCTCTAACGAACGAATAATATTTGAAGTAATTGCAATGTAGTTTTCACGGAGGTGCATTTGAGAATGGGGCTTATTATTATGTGTATTCATTCCAATTTTATCAATTGTATTTTACGAGATATTTGAGGTAACCTTTTTTCAAATGGAACTACACATATTTTTCAGTGTATCATAACGACCGTAAACAAATCCAATTATATACATATTGTTATATGCTAGATAAGCATTTTTTGAGTAATTTTGACTTTTTCAACTAGTATTTAATGGATATATGGATGCAACAGTCCGCCACACAAGGTCACGCAGCGCTCTTCCTGCTAGCGTGCGCTCGGAGAAGGGAAGAGACCTTGGTATTTGAAGATATGAAACTTATTCCATATATTCACAAAACTGTTGCAGTTTTTTTCTTAACTCTGCTTACCATTCTTCCACATTTTCATATTTTCCTAACCTCTCCCCTTACATGTACTTAAATAACATGCACTACACTATCGCCGGAAGACCGGTCGGGAGCTTAGAATTGATCTCGGCTGGGACGATGCTCCGCTGGATACCTGGTTAGGGAAAACCCCGTTAGCGGACAATAGGTCAGCGCCGGATCTTGCCATTCAGCGGGGGAAGATTACAGCTACCTTCGGAGGAAAAAGCCATGCACCACACGTACGGGACTAATGACTTTAGCAGTAGACGCGCCGGAAATCATTAACAATGAATGAATCAAAGTTCTCAGGAGCCCTGAATATTGTCCATCCGAATATCGTTATGAAGGAATTGAGCAGCGAGCAGGGCTATCGCGCGCATTCGTGTCTAGGGCTGTGCAATGCCTCTGCAATCTCTGGCGCCGTCGTGGAGCTCCCTCGCCGAGGACGTGGACGGCGCCTTCCTCAGCGCCCTGCTGTGCGGGGAGGCGGCGGTGGGCGCGGCGCCGCTCGCCCCGGCCGAGGGCGCCTACTTCCCGCGCACCCTGGAGCACCGCAGCACGCTCGACCCGGCCGTCCTGGGCGCGCTGGACCCGCGCCACGACCACCTGGTGCTTAGCGGCTTTCCCGCCTCCGCGCTCGAGACGCTGGCGAGAGGGCTTGCGGGAGCGGGCGAGGGCGCGACGCACAGGCTCCCAGCGCGCGAAGACGAGGGCGAAGCGACGACGTGTGATGACACGGCAGATAAAAAAGATGACACGAAGGATGCTGACCAAGAATACATTTCGGATGAACGCAGGTAAATACCTCAATGCTTTCAGCTAGTGTAGCATTCTTGACTTAGTCTTCTTAATTTGATGCGTCTCATTTTTTTGTTTACCTTTCTTCAATATTTTATTCATTCTGAGTTATTCCTTCATAAGTTCTAGTTTCCTCGAATCTGCCTTTGAAACACATTTCATTTTCTGAAAGCGTCTCTGTTTTACTACTGTGCTACTGTGTCACATGCTCTAAAATATCACACTTATAAGATATTATCACACAAGTTCTCTTATATTTATACATTATTTTTATATATATATATATATTATAACAAGAGTTTCACGAAAGCATTTGTTCATAAATTGAATGAAACCTTCATATTTTTCTATTCTAGAACATTAATGAACGCCAGATTACATAAGAAATTTCAAACAAATATTTGATTGTGTGGATGTTCATTTCTGATTTACATAGGCGTGGAAAATTTGCGTCAACTGACTTGATATAAATTACATACGCTTATAGCTTAACTTTATTTTTGTTTTGCCTTAAATGTTTGACTGTGTCTTTAAACGAGTTTCAATACCACTGTCTAGACGTGTAGGAACCAGCCCTTTCACGCGTTTTTTATAATACGTGTCTGTTAAAATTTGGAGCACAGGATTATATTTTGTAGTATTATTCTAAACATTTGCCGAGATTGCTAACAGGTATTCTCGCAATTAAACTGCAAGAGCGAGTGGGATAGTAGCTGACACAAAAGTAAGAATTACATAATTGAAATTATTATAACTGCAATTTAACAATAGCTACTTCAATACATTCACAAGGCATACATAGTGACTATATAAGCTATTCTTAGATCGAAATCGAACTAATGACATTTACTAACAGAAAGAGACTTCTTGTGACATGGTTTGCTACTCCACCAAGTCCTTCAAATACAAATATCAATTAAGCCACTCTTGTTCTGGTCTCATTATTTCTCGTATGGCTTTATTATTATTATTATTATTATTATTATTATTATTATTATTGGCGACGAGTCAATGAGGTGATGTAGTAGACTCGTTCGGGTAGGATCTGAGACATATCTGATGACATACGGACCATTAAGTGCAGTTGTTGAACAATAGATTGATTCATCTATTCACAAAATGCAGATGTTAGTTTAAATATATTAAACCTTTCAGCGTTTACAAACTTCTTAAATAACTTGCAGGTGGACCGTAGTGTGTCCAGGCCACAGCGCAGCCGTCACTTTCCGAGAAGTCTGCCAGAGAGACCCGGCGCGCAACGTCCACTGGCTGCAGCACTGCGGCTCGCGCGGGGCCGGGCGCCAGGAGGGCCAGCTGGCGGTGGCGTGGCGGGCGACGCGCGGCAGCCGCGCGGCGGTGGCGCCGTTCGTGCGGGTGGCGAGCGCCGTGTGCAGGCGCACCCCGACGTGCGTGCACTCGGAGCAGGCCGCGCGGCACGCGGCCGCCTGGGCGCAGCGCGCCGCGCTGCTGGTGGCGGAGCCCGGGATGGGCAAAAGCCGCTTCCTGCAGCGCCTGGCGGCCGAGGCGCGCGCGCTGGCGCCCCGGCGCTGGGCCCTGCTGCTGCACGCGCACCGCCACCGCAACTTGCTGCAAAGGTTGCCCGACGCACAAGGTACAAAGTAATGTGTACCACTATCTTTACTTTCTCATATGCGTACATATTATATACGGTGTTGTGTACAGAGCGCCAGGAAAGTCTCATCGCAGTGACATCTTGCTGGTGAGAGTGCTAACTAAAGAAATTATATTGGTAGCACTAGCTAATGATTATAACCAAAGAAAAAGTACTTGCATACTGACCACAATCATAATAGATGATGGAAACGTGGGCCCTTTCACTTGTTTTTCAGTGGTTTTTGTTTTGATTTTCAATTATTTCTGAATAAATGTACAATGCTTTGGCCAGTGAGGTCCTTGGTAGCAGAAGATGAACATATAGAATATTAAATATAGAAAATTAGTAGCTATAAAAATGCTGCTCAGGCATGAAGGACAAAACTTTTTCATGTGATTAAATAAGATTAGAAAGGACGTTATGTAGGTTCGAAGAATTGTTTTGGTAATTTGCGTTTTAGTCGGTTACAATGAAATCAGTGATTTGGTTGCTACCAACATAACTGGAACTTTTAATTGGAGGCCCTGATTCGATTCAGTGCAGACAGACTTTTCTGGCACACTGTACGTGGTATAAAGTTATATAAACTGCAGCACAAAAATGATTTTTGAAACAAAATCGTATTGTGGGGCCCTGCTACAGAAAAAGTCGATAAATAATGTTCCAATATGTAGTAAATTACTACAATACTGTTACATTACCTTCCATATGTGTTAAAAACACGTTATGAAATCAGATTTCAGAAATTGTGCATCCTTGTTACCGAAAATGTTATTTTTCAAAACATCCGTTCCTCCGTCTGTAAACAACACAAGCGCCTAAACTATACATATGATTTTTTTTCCAAAATGGATATTCCTCGGTCAATCTAGACTGACGGAAAGTTCTCCTATTTTAAAATTCTTTAAATGGGGGGTACTTTTCAAGAAACCACCAGCATATTTTCTAAAATTTCTGAAAAATAGTTCCAATTTTTTAAAAACCTTTTTGTAGGAATATAGTAAAATGCAATTTTAAAGATGCTATTACTCACTTTCTCACTCTTAACTCTGAAATTCCGAAAATTGCAAAAGTATGAAATATTGTCGGTGTCTTCCTGCAACTACAAAATTGAATATAAAATATGTTTCCTTCAATTAATTCTATCATTGAGGTCATGCACGATCTTTTTTTTAAAGAAGTGCTTTTCGCACAATATGGCACAGCCCAGCCTACATGCTTATTTTTTTTGGCTCAGAGTTGACTATGGAGCACTTGCTGGAACTGCTCGTTGAAGCGGCAGGCATTGCGACACCGCCATCAGCTGCGACGAAGGCGGCGCGGAGTTATCTCGAAGCTGCTGCGTTTGGTTCTGGCAACATTGCCGTCTTCATCGATGGAGTTGATGAAATTTGTCCTTCATTCAAGGACAAATTTATTCAACTTCTAAACTTGTTGCTGGAAACACCCGTACAGCTCGTGTGGGTTTCTTCGCGTCCACAGGTACAATGCTGACTGATTGGTTTTACAAAACAGTCTCCTCTTATTGGAGCATCCCTTCGTGATCACGCTCCGTGCATTCTACGACGAATAATAATATGATTTGTGAAAGTGAAATAAGATTTCATTTTTTAATGAAAGTGTTTAGCAGACATGGCGAACACAGTAATCAAGGATAATAATTTTCATACGTAAATATAAAATTTTAATGGTGCGCCGTGTATCAATTTCTCTTTTACACGGTATACTTTACCCCAAACGGTACAATTTACTCAAAAATTCAAACC